AGTATTTCGAGATACTGTTAGTAATGTGTAGCGACAGCACCACTCTGTTTGTTTAACCAAGGTACTTAACTTATTATTATACTCAATAAATAAATTAAAGTATTTAATTATTTTCGCTTTAATCATGATAATTTTAATTATGAAATGTATCAGTTAATATATATGAGTTAAGTATTTTAGCAAGCTTTCATTACAGTTCAATAAAAGTAATAAATGATATTAAAATAAATGGCATATTTAAACTATAATGTTATTTTAATTAAAATAATTTAGTATATTTAACTATTTTGTCTATGTAAATATAATTATATTTTGAAATTATATTTAAATATTGTGAAAATATAAAAAAATATATATATATTAATATTTAGATAGTGCATGTTAACACAATGTGATAGCAGTAGATACTACACATTTAATTAAATTTATTCATATAGCAAGTAAACACTGTAATAATTCGTACTTGAAATTAAACATTTAAAAAATTATTATTATGTTATGCAAATATTAATTTAATTAAATATTTGCTCATTTATGCTTCTAAAAATAAAATTAATATTACTTACAGGTACAATAATAATAAAATTACTGGTTTTATATCTGCAATTTATGAGACATTACAATTTATGAGACAACATTAATAAACACTCTTTAACTTAATATCAAATTTATACAAATATCTTAAGAAATAATAAAAATTATCTCAATTCAAAATTTGTCAGAATTATGGTCCTCATGTTTTGTATATGTATCGAAAAGTAACTGGTTGAACGTAGCTTTCTGATTATATTAAATTGTTTATACTTTGAAATATACAACAAAAAATCAATAGATATGTATTATTATATAATAAGTATGTATATTTTTACAAATATCAGTACAATATTTATTATATCATATTTACAATTAATTTGTTTATATCTAATATTTCAATAGTTATCGTTGCAATGAGTATTAATGTGCAAGGTGAATGCCCAACAGATTCAAGTATAGTATCACCATGCACATGCGATGGTAACAGAGGCACTATTGTATGCGTTGGAATTAATAGCAGCAAGCTTGATTCCGTATTTGTTAATTTAAGCAAGGCACTTAAACAGGAACAAAAGCATTTTTACGAAATTCGAGTATTTGGTACAGCTAATGTACCAATGTCAATTAATGCTACAACGTTTCAAGATATCACATTTAACAATATTTATACTGAAGATGAGATTGAACATATTCACCCTGACGCTTTCAATAAAATGCTCCAGGTTACAAGTTTCTTATACAATAAATCGAATAAATACGATGGTGCTGAAATTATGCCCAAGGTGAATAAATTTACCAATTTGACATATTTGTGTATTGAGGTAAATAAACAGATCCCATTGAAAGCGAATGCCCTTGATGGAAACCACGATCGCATTGAAACCATTATCTTATACATTGGACTACAAACTTTCTCCGATGAGATATAAAGTATGAGGTGAACCCAGGTGATGAGTGACAATTTGGGAGGCGCGCCTCCCCCACCTGGACCCCCTCTTACAATATTATATTGTTACAGTATAATAATGTTTTCATTTTTAAATAAATATTAATATTATTTTAAAATATATTCTGATCAATCGAATTTTCGCACAGTATAATTTAAAATAATATGTGCACTAGATATTAGCATTACAATACATTTTAAAATTATATTAATTATACTTTAATATTTTACTATTAAATATTACTTAATAAAATAATTCATAATTAACATGCACCATTTCAAATCTTCAAACTTAGTACAATTGGACAATGATCAAAGCCCGGCACGTGCTTTCTGATTAGACTATTGCTAACACAATTGATTAGTCTATCGGACACCAGGAAGTAGTCCAATCGCCAGCCGATATCATTCTTCATATTAATGCCGTACATCCAACTCGTGTAACATTTGTCTTCCTCGTCATCATTACCACGAATATATCGATACGAATCGGTAAACCCTGAGTCCAACAAACTTTCAAAATCGTCCCTCTCTTCTGCACTAACACCGACTGGATTGTCGGCCAAGTGGTCGGCCGCGTAGTCCCGGTCCTTATGGGCGACATTAAAATCGCCACATATTATGACCGGTTTGTGTTGATCCAGGCGTTTGACGTGATCCACGAGATTGCGATTCCACTCCCGACGCGATTGCAGTTTTGTGTCATCGATGACAAAGTTGGGCCAACGGTTCACGCGACCGATATAAGGTGCGTATACGTTGACGATGTAATACCGCTCGAACTCAGCCGTAATGACCCGACCATCCGACTCGTCCACATCGGGACGTCCGTCCGACTCATCCCCATCGGGACACCCATCCGACGCATCCCCATCGGGTATCCCATTACCTTCGAATCCGTAGATCACTTGCAATGGTTTCATTTGGCTAAAGATACAAACCTTATCATAGAAAGTAATAACATTTACAATAATGCCTATAATATTTCAAACATGATATTTTATAAACTACAGTATGTATACTGAATAATGTCTTTAAAAAGTGTACTGAATTATATTAATTATGATGCTATTATAAGTGATAATTATATGTAATTATGCTTAATGCTAATTATCTGTAGTTGCATGTATGTTTCATCATTTATAGCTTATGTTGTAGATATGGGGTTATCAAGCGTCCCGAGATTTTACAATAAATTGAGTAGAGTAAATTTTTTTAAGTTGTGCAAGTACTATATTAGATGAATGCTTGTAATGGTGTTTACTGATTTATCCTAGCAATTATAATAACCTAGTAATTGAGGTTCTAACATTGATTATAGTATATGAGCAGACCTGTAGACGTTGAAATTATTTCAATTAAATATCGTATCAGATATACAGTATTTCTAAGTTGAAGATGCATAGAAAAATATTAGAGGTAGCATTCACTGAATTAAGATTAGCTGGATTAAATTGATACGAGTCTTCATTAATATAAATATTTGTTAATGAATATAAACAAATATGCATATTTTAAACATCTGCTTATATCAATGTTGACTTTCTTATCAATTTAACCTGGCTAATCTTAATGCAGTGAATGCTACCCCTAATATTTTATTATGCACCTTCAACTTATAAATACTGTATATATAATATTATAACTGAATAAATAATATATACAACTATATATACAATAATGTATATAACTAACCCCCAATTGGCCTTTTTTGTTGCCAAAATTATAGTATTTATACTGATACGTTTTCCAATTTATAATCACACTGGGTAATCTTTTCCTCATGCACTTAAATTCTTGTAGACAAACAATATTACATTTTTCATTATGAATATTATCGATACCATCTTTCTTGACCCAAGCCTTTAAACCGTTAATATTCCATGAGATAATCTTGGTCATCTTAATAGACCTATCATCTATGATAATACCATTAGTTTCAGCAGTTGTATCAGGGTAATCGTCGTCACATTTAACTTTTTTATTAATATCAACTAATTCTTGAGAACTTCTTTTTGACATATTATTTTAAAACTAGGCTAAATAATATGCAATATTTTTAAATATTATTAATTTAATGTTGTATTTTTTTTAAAAATAATCAACCACAGTGTGCAACGTTTATTTCACGAATGTAATATAAAACTATTAATTTAATCTTCATTAAATATGATAGCTTATTTTATTACATATAAATTATATTACTATTATCATACTCAATTCTTATAAAAATTTTACTTAATCTTTTGTAAACATTTGAAATAAGATATTAATAAAATATAAATTAAATTACCAATATATATATTATATACATTAAATACTGTATATAAATATTATCTTATCTTTAAGAAATTTTTTTGAAAGTTTTGTAGATTTATTTTATCAGCAAACTTATCTAGGTCATGACATTTCCAAAGTATAAGCTACTAAATTGTTGTAGATCATATAATTTTATAAATAGTTTAATCATGATAAATGAGAACATTTTATGTCATTTAACACATTTTGTGAATAATTTTTTTCATTGCAACTAGGATAAAATTTTTAATATTTGATTATTTTAATATTTCATAATTATTTTTAAAAATTACACAAAATTAATATAAAGTACTAGATAATTTATTATCAACAAATTCATGTCATATTATATTTCAGAAAATTTACAATAATTATTTCTATTAAGCAGAGTTTGTTATGCAATGTGTAGGTTAGCAAAATAAATGAGCTTTTAAAAATTTACCAAAAATCTGTAACTTATAATAAGTTTAATATGCCTACTGTTTAAATAAAAAAATCATCGTTTGATTTGCAAGATAAATTATATTAGAACTTTAGAAAATATCATTTTGAATAACCTAGATACAATAATTTAAAAATTAAGTGCCAGTCATTGAGTCGACTCCGAGGCGGCCACAGAGATCTCTCAGGCCGTCTGCCCACCTCTTTCGTGGTCTACCCCGGGGTCGGGGACCTGATGGCTGAGTGAAATAGACTTGTTGTGGGAGTCTATTAGTTTTTATTATGACTCCTCTGATTATAAAATGAATTTAATTTTTCTGAATATAAAAATAATGTATTGAAAAATAATCTGAATAGGTTAAAGTACATATATTTAAATGTGATTATATGTATCTTTATGCTGTACTAGAATAATATAAATATTTGTCTAAAATTTAATAAAAAGCACTTTGTAGTCTACTTTCGATAAAATATTTTAATAAAATTGACCTATTGCTTAATGGTGGTAAACATGTGATAATTCAAAATTCAATTTTATGATATATAAATAAAATTTTCAAATTATATTTTATCAAAATTTTTTATGACAGAATATAAACAATTAATTCTAAATACAAAAATTATGTTTATATTAATTTTTCATCTTATATTAAATAAAATAAATTTTAAATATTTTTAACTAGTACAAATTTCCAAAGTACTAGTATTATACGATGCATCAGCACACGTAATATTTACTTGCTTAGTCCACCTTGAATTAAATAGCCAATAATTACGACAATCTTGGCAATCCAGGTCATTTTTTAAAATGCTACTCCCACGATGTTGGGATAATAAAGTGGTAAATACTTCCTCGTTCAAATAAGTAAAATTATTCATCTCTAAATCTAATTTAACAGCTATTAGAACAGGGAAAAATATAAATGGTGAAACTGTGTTTAGGGTAAAATTGTATCCAATCATAGGGCGCATACGTATATGTAAGGGCACTCCTTTACAATGAAAACCAAAGGCCATACGCGAAAAATGACGTAATTTGTGGTTAGTTATAAATAAATGTTTTAGCGAGTTCAATTTTCGAAACGGATTCTCCCCGATACTTTCTACATCACCCATAATGCTAACCATTTCGAGGTATGGGTGCTCCCCAAACGCATTATTAGGTATATTTTTGATATTAAAATTATGCAGGTACAATTTTTCCAATATTTGTAATTTGTTAATCATTTCAAATAATCCGTACTGTTCAGGGTAACTCCCATTATAATTGGTATTATTTATCTTGATACCCGAGCTGTTTATCCGTAATTCCTTTAACATATTTTGTGTGCCGTTAAGTGTATCATGGTCAATCCGGGTCAATATATAAGGATTTAGGGATAATTTGAGATCGGTGATCTTCAATCCTTCAAGAGCATTATTAGGCAATTCAACAAGGTAACCGTTACTTATTTGTACTTCGTAAAAATGTGATTCATCATGAGTCAAATTATCTGTGATATTTTGCATGACGGACTTAATATCATCACCAAGGTTATCATTACAGTTTAAAATACGCCTCGTATTGTTTGTGCCATCAATTATGATTGTTTCGTTATTAGCACCAAGTTCATATTTGTACTCTTGTAGAATACAATACAGACACGGATTGTATTTATCTGTTTGTGGACATTGAATATCCACCTCTTTTGTGACAAATGAGCATGCACAATTAACCAAAAGTAATATCAATGTTATTGCTAAAAAATAATTCAAATATTCTACTTGTTACATTAAGTTTTAAATAATTTATTATACTTACAATAATAGTTCATTATAATTTAAATTTAATTGATAATTACAATTAATAATACAATAATTATTTAATAAAATATTTTTATAAAGTTTTCACATGTAGTTATTTAATATATATAAAACGAACTGTTAAATCTATATAAACGTACATGTAATATATTTTATTTAGTCTATTGTAAACAAACAAAAGTACAGATAATCTTTAGATATGAAAGGTCATTTTACGTTATATAAATACAGGAAGGCATTGATAAGTATATAATATATATTTTTAAAAATTGACTAGGAATATTTAATAGAATTAAATAGAAATTTATATTAACCGACATAAAAATTAACACTAATATTAATTATGGCATAGGCATTTCATAATTAAGATTATTTAAATATATTTTTTAAAATTTTAAATTGTACCTGTAACTAAAATCATAATAATTTCTCGTATATTTATAATGAAAGTGATACTGTTTATTTATAACATGTTTGTCATTATAGTTAATAAATAGTCAACAATCTAGTTCATTTTATTGCAAACATAAAAAAGTAGACAATTATTAAATAAACTAGTTATTATTTATACCATACTCAAATTTCTAAACTAAATATCATTTTGATTGTGATATGAATTGCGACAAAAATGTGACAAAATATTATAGAAAAATGAAATTTCATGTGACTTAAGATTTTCTGATATTTTATCAAAACTCAAATCATTTTCTGAAATATTTTCATTGACAGATGCAAGAACATTTTTGATGTAAGCGAGTACGTATTTGAATTATAGCAGGGATATAATGAGAAAATAATTTTGCCCAAAAGTGTATAGATATTGATACAACTCGTAGCTATTCATAGGAAACAAGTCATAGCAATAGTATCCGATGTCAGGGCCCGACAGTTGCTGAATGAATGTGTCGATCGTAAGCCTATGGCGGACTGATAGGGTCGACCCCGCGGTTGTCATATATGCCAATAGTGTCGGGTATGGCTTGCGGGCGACGGTCGACACCCGGGAACACATGATAAACACCAGCAATAAGAGTGCAAAAAATGCGATGAAATTGGCGGCGAATAGATGGGTCAGTAATGTCATACCCGGCCGATATATCGCATACATTGATACCTTACATTGATAAATGCAACATGGTGAATTAATTTATTATAATGTTTGCATGTGGCAAACATGTTACTAAAATAAACAACTAATCAATTTACTGTAAATGTACTTGCGTTAAAAATGTATGTTAAACTAAGCTAGCTAATTTAATGTTTACAAAATACTTACTTGTAATCCGACTGAAGTGATGTAATAAAATACAAATAAAATTAGCCTGATGAAACGATTGAAATTAGCCACAACAGTAGCGTAGTAATTATGCTCGATTATGACCCTCATAATTTGTATCTGGTTGCCAAACCTTATAGCAAGCAATATTTTACGATAAATCGCAATAAATGCCTGTTCCGGGTATTTATTACCTATTTAATTTGGTAGTTTTAATTTAAAAAATAAATGATTTTACATATACATTAAATTTTACAATAATTACCTATGTAAAATACCACAAACCCTATTATAATAAGCCCAGTCACTACCGGTAAAACGAATAAGTTTGCTACATTATGAACGACCAAGCTAATAAATCCGAACCATGTAGGTCTATTGTAGAATACTAAACTTGTTAGTATAATGTGAGCAGGGTATATTATTAAAAAATGGACTACAATTCCTGGCAAAACGATGTAGTACGCAAAAATGTTAGCACGCTTAATTAGTTTACGCTCATCGTGCACATTTAACGGATATTTAATTAATCCATAGTTTAATAAGTGCAAGTAATCTAAGGGAGTTAGCGAGTTACATTGTTCCATGAAAGTAATCAGGGTTAAAATAATAAACGATGTGATGCATACAATAGACAAAAACGTATATATAACCCGCCTATCACCCATGTACTTGCTAAAATCCATTAGTATCATATCAAATACGGGATTATTTCCGATAATTGCCAAGATTATGAACCGGATACAATTTATTAATCCAAATACTCGACATAATAGGCAAACATAATATCTGTATTGATCTTGGTAGTTTAAGATATATTCGCTTGAGTTTCGAGATATTGTCAC